CCGCCACCGAAGTCCGTCACCTACACCAGCAAAGTTGCTCGCCGCATATCATTCTTCGCATCAGCCTTGTGAATAGCATCATTCCACAGCTCTCATCAGGACTTGCCGGACTTAGTACCGTATGTCTGCATGCACGGCATCGAAAGCTGCATGTCATCGTGCAAGTTTGTACCTATACACACAGATAACACAGATGGTCGCAGCTGCAGACATGTATGCATGCAGAGTACGCAAACAAGCAGAATATACGTAGTGTGCATGTGTAAGATTGAACAGACATACCCAAATCTGCTGCTGTCCATCTATCCGTCCGTCAGTCCGTCCGTTTGTCTCATCTTGCCTGTTCGTCTACCTATGTACCCAGCCTTCTATCTACTATCTATCTGTTTTTATTTACCTACGTAGCTAGCTACCTATCTATCTTCCCTTCCTTTCTAGTCTATCTTATGTACCTTGTTTATCTGCCGGTCTACAGATCTACCTGCCTACCTATCTGTCTGTTTGTCTGGCTATGTATCTATCCATCTACTATAGACGGCTGAATAAATACAAAGCTGACGACGGCACTTGATTTTAATTATACTTTACCAGACCCCAGCACAGAAGCACTGCGCAAAGCCATCCCGATCCCAAAAGCTTCGAGACTCTCCCAAAACCCTGGGCCCTAAACCCTATTATGCGATATGCTCTGAAGCCAATGTGCTGCTCGCCGTGTACCAGGAAACTCGCCCGGGCATGTCTTCGAGTGAGTGCTGAAGCCTTATTTTCGAGAATCTTTATGGGAACCTTTTTCGAAGCTCTCTTGGAACCCTAAACCCTAAACCCTAAACCCTCTGAAAGGAACCCAAGCTTTCACCAGGGGGACAGCCATCCTCGGATCCGGGGGACCAGCGCTTTCGGCCGAGAAGCCGTCAGCTGAAAAGGCTGCTGGAGGCCTTTGGGGTTTTGTGGGGTTCGTGATATTTAGGGTTTTTTGGGTTTAGGGCTTATTTGGGCCTTGGGGTTCAGCTGTCATGACTTTCGGAGTTTGTTTTGGGTTGAGGCAAAAGGGTGCCCGATAGGGCTTGTATAGCGGTGCTGCAAGGGCTACTACAAGGCTTATTCTAAGGGGAGAGCTTCTCTCAGGGTTCAGGCTGTGCAAGTGACCGGTCTTGGAGGCTTTGTGGCTTCGGAGTAGTTGGCACTGACGGGTTTGAGGTTCGCGATGTTCGGAGCTTGGGTGTTGGGGGGTTTGGAGGTCTGACGTTTGAGATTTTGGGATGTGGGGTTTAAAGGATCTAGAGTTTTGTGCAGCTCAGAACTGAGGACTAAGGAGGGTAGGGCTAGAGTTGAATGCGCAGCCCTAAACTGAAGAAAGCATGAGCCCTAAGCCTAACCCTCGAACCCGGTACCGACACCGACACCTTTGACTGTGGAGTGAAGCTGGAGCCCCAAGCCTTGACCTTGCTTGGGAGCCCTAGACCCTGAACTCCCCTAATAGTTTGATATACCTGAGTAATTGCCAATGCTACTTTGGGGTTCATCCATTTGTGTTGTATAATAGGCACCAAACCGTTATTCTAACCATCAAGGCCCTCATGTTCACCTCTGCTCCTAAACACGCCTGGCAGTCAACAATCACCCTCGTCAGGTGCAGCCGGCATAATGCCGGCCCCGACTATGCAGCACCTGGGCCGTTTAGGGTCTGGGGTTTTGTTTACGGGTTTGGGGGTGTTGTGCCCTAAGTCCGAAGCTGTTTTCAACGCTGTTTAATCCGTGTTACACTGTTACACGCCACTCCGATAGCCTCTTGCATCCTCTCCTAGGCCTTGACTGTAACTGTTCAAATGCCAGATGTCAAATCGCAAATCCTGCAGCCCTACTCCCGAACTCCTTCGCCTGCCCTGAAGTATGCAGAGAGAGCTGGAGAGAGAGAGAGAGAGAGCGCCGTTTCGCCGTCCTGCCCCTACCAGAAGGGAACTTGCCTTTCGTCGTAGAGGTCAGGATTTAAGACTTGGAGTTTCTTAATGACAAGCCTTGGCATTCCATCTGTGCATGCCACCGAAATCCAGAACCAGGTTCTCTGCATTCGTTTACGTGGCGGATGAAGAGGAAGGAGTAGCCAAGCTCGACGTGCTCCGTTTAGGCCTTGCCCGGGCTCAGGATGTGGGCTACCAGGCTTCGGCTACAGAAAGTGTGTTTTTTTAGGTCAGGCTGTTATTGATCTCCTGAACATGATAACTTGCCATATTGGCCGACCGGCGTTCACTGCTATGCTCAGCTCCTCACGGTTCCTTGGTTTCGGCTTTGGGGTCTCGGGTGTGGGCTACACCCATTCCAGCCCGGAGTCCCGAACCGAAACCCTGCATCCCAAACGGAACCAAAGGAAAACACGTGAACACCGAAAGTGTATTTACAGGAGTGCCTGCTCGTTGCACTACTAGGCCCACGAGGCAGTGGTCTCAAGGTCCTTCAGGGCCTTGGACTTTGCAACTGAACAACACCTAACAACACATTCACCATTTTATCCGCAAGCCTTCAACTGCATATTAAGCAGGGTGTAGAATATACATATATACATATATACATATTTACATATATGCATATATGTATATATATATATAGATATGTATTGATATGTATTGATATGTATGTATGCATGCATGCATGTGTGTACATATGCAGGTATGCCTGCTTGGGATTCGGTGAGTTTTGGTTTTGATATGGGAATACTCGGAAAAAGAGCTTATATCACAGGCAATGCCACGATGCCCAAATCACTGCACAGAGCTCCAACCCGAGGCAGAAACCAGAGCTCGTTTCCGCCAGGCGATCAGTCGAGGGACTCCCAGGTGAAATGGATCACGACGGACTGCACGGTGGCTGTTGTTCCTTGCGGTATCATCAGAGGAAGCTTCAATGCTAAACTGGGATTCAACGAGAGTTTACAGGAGTTGGGATGCTCCCTTTATGTTCCACTTCAGTAGAACACATATGTACATACATGAAAAAGTGTACAGAGAAACAATTAAAGAACTAAGTATATTACAACCAAATGAGCAAACAGGTGCAAATATGCATGTATGTATATATGTGTGTTTACACATAGTGATACACCAATGTACGTGCATGCATGCATGCATGCATGCATGGGTGGATGGGTAATGGATGGATGTAAATTTGTTTGCATGCTTTGTCTGCATGTGTGCATGTATGTGGTTAAGTTTCGTGATGCTTGATTAAGAGTTAAGTCGCGGCGAGGTGTTTTGCGTGCTTTGGATTTTCTGGGGAAGCTGAGGCAACCTGTGGTTCTCTCTGATGTGACAGAAGCTGCTTCAGGGTTTAGGGCCGTGCGGGCTAGGGCGTGCCTCGTGCTAGGACGCCTCTGGCAAGGCGACTTTGGCAGCAAGATTTGCATGTTGACGTCCCAGGATCGTGTGAACCTCGGGCATGGCAAGACCTACTTGGTTCTCCAACTGCTGCTGCGACTTCTGCTCTAGTACGACGACGACTGCTACGACTGCTACCACCACCCCACACCAATGCCACTACTACTACCACTACTACTCGACTCGACTACGACGACGACGATTAGTACTACTAAGTGCTACTACTACTACTACTACTACCACTACTACCACTACTACTAATTGTACTCCTACTTCTACTACTACCACTACCACTACCGCTACTGCTGCTGCTGATATCTGCTGATGCTGCCATCACAACTGGTACTTCTGCCACTGAAGCTGCCACTGCCACCGCTACCGCCACCGCCACTGCCACCTCCACGACCCATCACCAGAACGACGACGACGAAGATGTCGACAACAAGTAGTACTCATCAGCATAGTTGAACGTCTCAATGGCAAAGTTGCAGTTGAGCTTGTCAAGAATCGTTCATTACCAGCATCATCATCATCATCATCTTCATCATCGTCTTCACCATCGTCTTCACCATCACAATCGTCATAGTCATAGTAATCATCTTCTTCGTCATCACCGTCATCATCAGCACCATCGTCGTCAGCATCATCATCATCATCATCACCACCACGATCATCACCACCACCACCACCACCACCTCCACCTCCATCATCGTCGCCACCAGCATCATCACGACCATCATCATCACCATCATCGTCACAATCATCATAATCATCATCATCGTCAGTGTCATCATTGGTTTTGAAAGCTCTCATGATATCGCACTGTTCGCAGTCAGACGCCAACCAAGCTTGCGATAAGTATGTCGCTCAGATCTAGAACTCGAACCACAGCGCTCAGACCAGTCGGGACCACCACAAGAGTTGCAGAACAGTTGCATAGCTTCTATGTGTGGCAGTTCAATGATGACGGCATACTACCGATGAGCTGATTTCGGTTTTCTTGTGGGGTGAAAGTATTCCGTCCGATGAACGAAAGGCCAGCCAAATCTTCGAGCACGCCGAGGGCACGCTCCATTTCGGGCCTGGGGACGGTGCGAAGCAGATCCTGGTGGATTAACTGACATTTGGGCGTAAAGCGTGTTGGAGCGGAAGCCTTGCAACATAGAGGCATGAGTCGACGTTCTGTCTAGGATTGCTCTCTGCTTCAGAGTTCAGGGCTGCATGCGGTGGCACATGTGCTGATATTTCCGCCAAGCCCCAACCCTAATCACCTGTACCGGTCCGAGCTTCGAGAGTTAAACTCCCAAGTCCTGCACCCCTAAGGTTGAACAAGAGACGGCACATCCTGAAACCGAGCCCCAAGACCCAACTCCTAGCGGTGCCTAGTTATTCAAAAAATCCCCGAACCTTGAAGGTGCCCGGAGTTGCTGCACGTGTGCTTTCTGCGAGCAGGAAAGTCAAGGTCCCTGAGTACTTAGACCAAGGTCCTGGGCTCCGTGATGCTTTGATGACATAAGAGTTCCAAGCGAATATTAGTCTGGCTAGGCAATCGGATTCTTGTCCCTTGAGCCTTCAGCCCAGGTGCATTTGCAACGCAACGACAACTGGTCTTCCATTCTCGACTTTGGCGTGATGCTCAAAGAGGACGGCTTGGTGTGACCCGGCAATACCGGGGAGCGATGCTAGGAACTAGAAAGTTATGGATCTCCACACTGTCGAGACTCTTGGCATCTGGACTACTGTGCATGAGTTTTCTGATGTGCAGGTATCAAGAGCAAAAAAACCACGTAAACTTAAACTTTCGGTATTGGGACGAAATAGTAGGGACAGGTAGCCAGAAGGCAGGCCCCGGCCAGTTTACAGGTCCATGGGTGCAGTGCGGGAACGGATAGATCGTAGCTTGGGGAATAGTAGCATATTCCACTCGCGAGGAGAGGTTGTAACAGACAGGCCTTCTCGCTGCATATACAGTCGGCGCAAGTGCTTCCTTTTTATAGAAGTATTGTTTTCTGTGTTCTGGCGACCCACATAAACTTTTTCAAGTCCGCGGAAATCCCCACACGAAGCCCGCGCTTCCCGAGCCAAAAAGTTTGATACTTTTTTTGGGAAGAGTACTTTGCCTTGTTTGTGCAGGCACATAAACTTTCTTAGGTGCTGATTTCTCCGGACGGAAATTTTCCGGCATCCCGGAAAAGAATATGGACAGCGTTGTTCAGCACTAGATGGTTACCTGGTAACCATTTTCCTTGGCATGTTGCCATGGGCAGTAGGTGATCAGAAACTGGAACAAGTGCCCACCTCACTGTTGAAACCGGTAGTACCACCAGCAATGCCGAGAATCGACGGTGGTCCAGCGTCGTGTTGCAGCTCCTGTTGCATCCCTGTAAGGCTTTGGTGTCAATTTCAGACAACCGGGTTCTAGAGCAGCAGGCCAAAATGGATCATGTACAGCAACAGGTTGTCTTTCAAGGCTGTTTAAACAAAGATTTCCAAACAGCTGGCTGATGAGGTGGATACTAGTCTGAATCACGAAAGAAGGCTCGCACACGCAGGCTCTCACCCTCGCATAGGGATTTCTACCTGGTGCTGCATCGGACAAGAACCGGCAGAAGTAAAAATAATGGGGAGATGCCAAGGAATGCCCAGCTTGGCCGCTACGGAAGCACCACCCGCGTGAAGGCCCGGGGGATTTTCTTTTGTAGGGACCCCAAAAAGCACATAAGCATAAGCAATTTATAGGGATATCCCTACCTTATTGGGCTTCATTATAAGGGGATTTATATGGGATATCCCTATCCTCATTTTTGCTTATGTGCTGTTTTGGGGCCTTATTTTAGGCTTCGGAGGCTTGGAGCGTTGGGGTTTGTGGAGTTAGCCCTTAGCTCTTACCTTAACCCTCAATTGGTTTCAGAATTCTTCTTGGATGCTTTTCTGCAACTTAGTTTCCGTACATTTGGCCACAATAGCGGCTCGGGGTTTCACGGGTTCAGAATTCAGGTTTAAGGAATTGTAGGTTTAGGGTTAAGACCTTAAGGGTTTTGGGGTCAAGGACTGGGTGTGCGATTTGCACTTGGGGCTTCAAGCGGTCAGACTGTGGAGTTTAAGTTTCGGAGGGGCTTAGGAACCGTAAAACCATGGTTGACGACCTCATAAGCACGCGGGCGAGAGAGACACTTCAATGTTTGCAGGCTTTAGCATTCGGCGCTTAGGGTTTACCTTTCGAGGGTCTTGGAAGCCTTGCTTTTGTGTGGTGCCGTGGGTCTAGGTTTGAAGGGCTTCGGGTTTGAGGTTCCCGGTTTCGGGGCCAGCATGTAAGCAAAGGGCACTTAAGATCGTGAAGGTGCTTAGAGGCTTAGAGGGTTCAGGGTCCGGGCTCCATATCCAGATGAAACTTTCAAAAAAGCACGTGATGCCGAATCGATTGGGGGTATTGAGGCCAGTCCGAGGCGGCAGCCGTACACCTCGCTCAGGCTCGAAGCCTCACGGTCGAAGCCACTAAACCCTAAAACCCTCCGTGGCAGGTGGTTGACAAGGATGCCTTCCCCTCCAATGAGTTCTCGGACATTGCCCACTTCGAGCCTTGACCCGCCTTTGCTTTCGGAGGACATTCTTTCACCAATCATTCGTGCCCCGTGCTATGGTCTGCACCTAGACGAGGATTTTACATTTCTGTCCGGCCACTGTTTCCGTCGCCTTGGGGTCAGCTCTTGGTGGCAGGTTTCAGAGTTCGACGCCCCGTGCGTGGTGCTCTGCGGGTTTAGGGTTTAGGGTCTAAGGTTAAGAGCTTCAGCTTTTTATGGTTCTTAATGGCGGGGCTGACCCGGCCACTCTTATGGAGGCTTGGATGCAAGAGGTGTTTATAGGTTTGGGGCTTTGGGGTGTATCTGACTGCATGGTACAAAACGCAGCAGAGGGATCCCTCGCTGGCGTCCGCTCTCAAGAAGCCGGAGCCTCCCACAATGCAGGCTGCTCTTGGAGAGAGACGTGACCCTTAAGACCGGGAAGACGGTTGTGGACCCGGTTGTGCCCCCTGCAAACCCTAAACCCGAAAGTCTAAACCTTACCCCGAACCCTGGACCCAAACTCCTCAAACCTGAGAACCCAACAAACTCCAGAGGTCCGGGTCAAGCGCTGACCTTTAGACAGCCTTAAGAAAGCTTTCGTATCGTGTTCTCCACCATGGTGTCATTCGACCCTTACCCTTAAATCCAAACGCCTTTTGTGCAGGACTCACGTCCAGTCGAGCCGAAATAGGCCTAACTCCTACACCCCCAAACCCTAAAACTCTCAATCCCCAGCACGGCCGAACCCCCGCAGGGGTTTAGGGACTTGAGTCAAGTGGCAAAACGGGCGCGGGGGTTGAGCCTTTTTAAACCCAAACGGACTTTTCCGTCATGCGCCACCAAGGAAGAAGAGCCGCCGTTTGAGGCACGTCTGCTGGAGATGGATCTGTTCGATACTGATACTGATGTCAAAGCGTGGGCAGTCGTTCGACTTGGCACCATGATTCTCGATCACAGCAAGAAACGACCACCCGCCACACGAACAAGCAGAAGATAGTATATAGGATGACTTCTACGTAACCTACCCCTAAGGTCCAACCCTACATCCAAAAACCTAAACCGGTGTATGCAAGCCACTCGTCAAGTTCCCATCTTCGAACCAAGAGGCCCTTCAAGCCGTGAGCAAACACAAGCAGAACTCCGAGACGCAACAAGCCCGAAACCTCTGCGTCCGAAACCTGGAACTTGCATATCCCAAGCCGCAAAATCCCGGAATCTTTAAGCATCAAGCTTGAGGCACCGATGGTTCGTGAGCTGATCCTTGAACCTCCATGCCCCCCAACCGCGAAACCTTCGTATCCCGAATCATATAGGGGCCAAAATAGTTGCCAATACTATTTTAGGGGTTCCTTATCAAATTACAGCATAATATACCCCGAATACCCTATTCTAATTATTAAAGCCTCTACAGTGGTTGCTTTTGAGCTGTTGCAGGCCATGACACATCACTCGCTCGTGCGAGCGGTGCCTGGGCCAAACGCCGGACGCTGTAATATAGGGGCCTTAAGAAGGAATAGGGTTCCTTTAAGGGTTCCTTTGAATGGGGTCTACAAGGATTACTACGAGGGATATAATGGGGGTGTAATATAGGGGCCTTAATAACTAGAATAGGGTTTCTGACCCATTATACACAAATATGATAAGGAAACCCCCCAAAATAGTATAGGTAATTATTTAGGACCTATTTTAGCGTTTGTAGGGTCGTTCGTGCTGCAGGGTTGGGGTGAGCCAGCAAGCAGCAATACGAAGAGCCTCCATCGACGTCATCCCCATTACGAGCAACATGTTCGTCAGCAGGCAGCTGCTCTGTTTTGGAAATAGGCACGCAAAGCACAAATTGTTGACCCCCAGCACATACCGGGCAGTTGTTGGGCTCAGGGCTTAAGGACAACGTTGTAGGTTTTGGGCTCCGGGCTAAGGGCGGCTAAGGTGGTGCAAGGGTGCAAGGTCTACTCTTTGCCCTGAAAGCCTATACCCCAAGCTCCCAGCACCCACGAGGTCAGGGACTTCTGCTGGCTGAACTTCACCAGCAACGAGAAAGTCAGGTGCACTGCCTCAACGATCCTGCTTACAAGGCATAGTCGCGAGGAGGACTTGGCACTTGAGGGTCCAGGGTTGTGGGGTTTAGGGGTTCAGGCATGTGTCACGTGGGACTATCTGTGTCCTGCAGCCGGGCTTGGCATTTCGAATGCCTGGGAGAGAGAGCGGGATTGAGGCATTTCGGGCCTGGGGCTTAGGCCACTTGCAAAAATGGGTTGGCTTGCGGTTTCCGGTTGCGGACTTGGTGTGCTTCATGATCATGACCCCAGCTTGTCTTGCACTTCAAAATCTAACCCTGCATACATTGTGACATGGTCCTTAACTTGTCTGGAGTTGTCTTGCATCGGCGCGATGCTTTCCTTCTCTCCTCTTTGAGGGGCTTGTGCCTAGGCCCTGGAAGTCTGGACCCGCGCGAGGAACACAGGAATTGAAAAGCCTAGACTCTTGACTCCAAACCTGAAGCTCGTATGCCGCAGTAATCTCTTATGTTGAAGTTTCGACTTCTTGCCCTTCAGTGGCCCTCTGTAGCCGTCGGTGGTATTGTGTTCGCAGCAGGGCGCGGCAGTAGCCAAACCCTCGACAAAGAATCCAAAACTCAAGCGCCTCAAGGTGAAGTGAAGCTAGTTTTACGATGATGTTTTATTATACTATGGCTACACTGTGTTTTATCATGCTATAGTAGGTTTAAGTCCAGAACTTAAACCCTGTGCCCGCAAAGGTGGGGCACCATCAAGCAGATATTGCTTGACACGTACACGAACCTCTTCAAGCTCGCGTGGCTTGGATGCAACGGCCTACTTTGATAGGTCAGGGCCAACCAGTCCCAATGTGAAGGTTCATGGCGAAAGCACTTGTCGTGTGTTGACGGAATCAGGGTTTCAACGGGTGGGAGAGCCTCCGGATGTTTGCTTGACGTGCTCGGGTCGAAGCCAGACAGATCAAACTCCATGTCAGGGCTCTTCGGCAATTCGCTGGGGTGACTTAGGGCTTTAGGGTTTCGGGTTGCAGTAGGGTTTCAGGTTGCGGGTTTTAGGGCCGCGGGCGATAGGGCCTGAGCAAGAACATCATCGTCGTCATGACAGAGATTGTGTTGGTGGTAGTGGATATGGCAACTCTGCGATGTGTAAGCACGCCAGAGGTCAATAGTGCTAGGCTGCCATCATAGTCGTACGGTGACATAAATCCTGCATTACACCAAAAAAAGGAATATACCATAATTCCCATAGTGTAGGGTCAATAAGGTAATGCATGATTTGTATCATCAACCGTAGTAAGCTTGGTGATGATAGGAAGTGTCTGGATCGATGCCGGAAGCCACAGCCTTGGTGCTCCAGCTGACTCCTGGGTTGTCGGGATTCGGCTTGAATGTCCTCTTGTAATATAGGGACCTAAATAAGTATAGTAGAATGGGGCCCAAAAGCCTTTTCTAATCATTAAGGCCTCTACTTTAGCTCTTCTTGTTGACTTCTGTCTGGGCTTTGAAGCCTCACCCCCTAAGCTCTGAACCTGCCGTCCTGAGGACTTTGTACCTTCGGGTCTACTTCCTGGACCACATTCTCAAGCCCCTTCCATGGCAAAGAGATGGAACCCAACTTGTGCCCAGTTGCGAGTACTGAAACCCTTAACACGACATTCAACGTTGCATCCGAGAACGGACGTCGACGAGTCGTCACTCTGGCTCATTCATGATCGTTATGAGTCCCTCTACCTGTACATGGCGGCCCTGACGCTCTTCAGCACTTGGCTCAGGTTTTACTTGTGTTTTTTTTGGTTGTGCTTCGTACAGGCGGCGTCATAGAGCTTATATATGTCATAGAGACGGTCCTTTGCGCCTGCTTCACTTGCTGGCAGTCGTCCCTGAGTCCGGAAGTTTGGCTGAAAAACGATGTCCGTGTTCGTGTCGCCTGTGAGTTCGTACATGAATGCGTTGGCGAGAACAGTAGTGTATATCATGTCTCCGTTTCGTGACAACAAAAACATCATTGTCGTCGTACTCGTAATCATCTTCGTCAAAACCCACAACAATGTTAACTACATTTCATGCCATGCCGCTGGAAAGCACTGCGATCCCGGCATTTGCCGGCTGGAGACTCACTGGCCCTTTATGGTTTTGGGGACGTGAGGAAACACATTGTCGAGGTAGGTCTTCAGCTCGGTTCATCTGTATATATACATATATATATATATATATACACATATGTATACGGGTTTTATGGGGTTTATGGTCGGGTTCGCGGGTTATAGAGTTTCGAGACCTAGCGCGCGCGAGAGAGAGAGAGAGAGAGAGAGAGAGAGAGGGCTCCGTTGTCTTTCTTTCCTGCCTGCCTTTGGGATGTGGGGTGCCTGGTGGGAAGCCCAGAACCAAACAGAGGCCGCAAGAATTGAAGAGCTTCTCCCATCCTCTCAGAGAGCAGGATCGTGCCGTTTGGGATCTCCCACTTGCTCCACTACCTGAAGCTTGGCCCGAACCTCAGAGTTGGAGCTCCGCAAGGCCTTTCCTGTGAAGCCATTCTGCAAGAGTTCGCAAGGCCATGAAGGGTACCGGGTCTCATCAAGCTTCCCCTCTAAGGGCTGTTTGCGTAATGTCACATCAGGCTAGCTCACGAACTCCGCTTTTGTTGGCACCATGCTATCAGGTTGGGGCGTGCCCGGTACGACCACCACTTGGATCCAGTCGGCCCTCTTGCGGCGCTACTTGTGCCCGGGACTGCATAGGTTCGGGGTGGCAGGGTTTCTTCTGGAACTAAAACCCTCGACTCCAAAAGCTTAAAACTTCTAGCTTTAGGCAGAGGGAATGCAGGAGGTGTTTGGGTTCAGACAAGGCACAGTTTCCGAAAGCCGCAACCCGACACCCTGCACCCCGAAACCTTAACGCCTAAATCCCAAACCCTAAAAAACCCAAGACCTTAGGAGCTTCCCGAAGGACCTCGCCTGTTTTGGGTTTGCTCTTCGCGGCTTCCAGGGTTTAGGGTTTGGGGTCTAGGTCCTGGTGCGAGGCCTGCTGCAAGAAAAGGGTTGAGGCTCTTAGGCGAAGTGCAAAGCCGGTTGGTTTCAGGACCTTCTGAGCACCTCGCCTAAGCCCTATAGAGTTTCACTATGTTTCACTCATTGGTTGCCAGAGTGAGGAACTACAGCACGGCCTCGCAGAATCTCACGAAGCCTGCGCAAGTCACTGTGGCATTGACGCTTGTCATCGTAGCTGGAAGTCTTTCCTGGGACTTGCAAGGCCAAACCTGCTTGCATGCAGCCGGACACTGTGCATGCGAACATGTGCAAGTAAGCCGGTACAGATGTAAGGACATCTACGAGTTTGCCTACGACCCACCTGCTTGCCTGCTTACCTACCTACCTACCTGCCTGCCTGCCTACCTGCCCACCCTGCCTACCTGCCTACCTACGCACCGACGACCCCAAGTAACTACCTACCGGCTACCGTACCACTTGCGTACCCACACCTTTGCCTGCCATCCATCCGTCCATCCATTCCTTCCACCTTTGCACCCATCCATACCCCCACACACGCATAAGCTCATGGACATACACATGCAGCACCTGCCGGAGGCTGTCCATCCATCAGGCACAATACCCTGAGCCCGAAACCTGGATGCTGCAACCAGGAAAAGTGCCAGCAACAAAAAGGTTAATGGTAGCCCAACGGAGCTGCACGGCATGCATGAGGAAACCGAGCGTTTGCACTTCGTTGTGACAGCTCTACCCTGAAATCCCATGCTGGGGGCACCTTTCAGTAGTGCAATGTATGCGGGCGGGCTCAATACATAGTTGCGCTTCTGGTGTTCGACATTTCCGGATTTTGGAAGTTTGTTCTAGAGTCTCGCCTAAGTCCGAACCCTTCGACCGTAAGTCCCAAACCCATTACCCCGAGAAGCCCTAGAGCCTGCGAGCTCCCAGGAATCAGGACGCTTTCTTGCTGGCCGAGGAGTGTCTCTGAAATTTCAGGGTCCGCTCGGAAAAGGAGCACCCCTCCTTGGTGTTTTTCCATCGAGGACAACGAACGTGAATACATTCTACTGGCAGCTTCTTGCTACGTTCTGAGTGGCTAAAGCCTGAAATTGAAAGCACGGATGTCCATCCTCAAAGAATATCGGCTTTCAACCGGAAATGCCCCGAAACACCTTGCCATTTATCATAAAGGGCCATCCATAGGGTTGTACGACAGGTTTATCTGGTTTTATAAGGTGTAGAGTTCACCTGTCTTGAGCAGGATGGCTACTGCAACATCCTCGCTCTGCATCTCGGCTTTGGTGCTTTGTGCAGGCGGATAGGGTCATAAACCCTCAGTCCCAAAACCCTGAATCTCCGAATCTCCGCCCCACAACCCTAAACCCCAAATCCGCAACCCCTCAACGCCGAACCCCGAAATAGCCCAAATGCCCTACCCTACACCCAATGCCGAGCCAATCGGGCTTCCGCCACACTCTTCGAGTAGCTCCTTAAACCTGAAGCCCAGGATGGAGAAGCTTGGCAATGTGGCTCCTGGGATGCAAGGATGTGATGTTTTGGGGGTTCAGGGTCCAGGCTTCAGGAGAAAGAAGGGTGGAGGGTTAAGGCTTGAGAACTGCAGGCGTGGACGTTTAGCATCGTAACGTGGAGCCAGAAAAGGTTGAAGCAAGCACTCCCTCCAAGTGTGTCGAGGCAGTCATGATCTTCTTTCAGTTCACGGCGCCCGCCGTCTTCGGGAAGCCCTTCCGGCCAATGTCCATCGCTGTGGTGATGGTGTTGCCCTTGGCGTGGAAACCCAGCTCTCGTGGTTCCAGAGTGGGATTCAGGGTTCGCTGATTGATTTGGCCTCCGTGTTGCAGTTCGCATGTCCCGGATGTTTGCCCGGAGATACTTCAAGCGTCCTTCGAAGCCCCTCGAAAGCCCGTGATCCCCAAGCCCGCAGCATTTCACGCCGAGCTCTAAAGTCCGCAGCTGCCATGTCCCTGGTGTCTGGGTTTCCGGCACGGTCTTTCCATCACAGCGCAGCCAGGCCTCGCATCGCAACGGCAGTGCCATCTCCCATCCGGCGCAGGGCTCAAGAGGATGTCGAGCGAGCACAGCGACGGCGCGCCTCCTTGCAATCCTTGCTGGGGCTCCTCTTGATGCCCTCAGCGGCTGCCGGCGCTGCAGGACGATTGCGGGGGAAGACCGCCGTCGTGACAGGGGCCAGCCGCGGCATCGGCAAGGGTATTGCAGTTGCACTCGGTGAAGCGGGGGCCAAGGTTTTCGTCACCGGCAGGCGGAAAAGTGCAGTTGAGAACACGGCAGCTTTGGCGACCCGTGCCGGTGGCGAAGGTGTTGCCGTCGTGTGCGATCACGCGGTAGACGAGCAGGTGAAGGCCGCTTTTACGCAGATTCAGGAGCAGACGGGCGGAAAGCTTGACATCTTGGTGAGCAATGCCTTCCAGGATCCGGCTCAGCGAGATTCCAAGAGCGACGAGCTTCTTGGCAAGGGCGCCAAATTCTTCGAGCTGCCTTTGCAAGTCTGGGATGACGTCCACCGAGTTGGTCTTCGCTCCCATTACGTGGCCTCATACTATGCGGCGCCAATGCTGCTCAATGCTGCCAGAGACGACTGGCGACCCCTGGTTTGTGTGACCTCCGCGCCGGCCGCAGTCACGTACTACTACGCCACTGCCTATGGCGTCGCAAAGGCCGGCAGTGACCGGCTGGTCCGTGATCTGCAGGTGGAGCTCGGCCCTCTTGGCATCGACTGTGTCAGCATTTGGCCCGGAGTGGTCTACACTGAGTTCGTTCAGTCTTTGTATGAGAAAGGCGATGTTGAGAGGATCAACCGTGTGACGGGCGGCCGCGATCCTAATGTGGTTTGCGAAAGTCCGTTGCTGACGGGCCGGGTGATCTCACGTCTCGCGGAGGAGCCTGGCATCCGGAAACCGCCGCTGCTCAGTTCTGGTGGTCTCACGAGCCGAGTCTGCGTCGTGGCGGAGGGTGCGAGGGATCTCGGCCTGCGCGATGGTGGACTGCCTGGTACTGTGGCAGCTGAGCTCTACGGTCCCGACCGGGAGCCTGCAGCATCCATCCGCTCGCTGGGCTACTTGCTGCCTGCCTTCCTTCCAGACAAGCTGCCGCCAAGCTTGCGGTGGCTGGTGGAGCCCGAAGGGCCCTTGGCCAGCAAGGACATCCGGGTGCCCTTCGATCTCATGGCCCAGGATCCCCGCACGGAGGATCCTAGGAAGCAGGATCTGAAAGACTTCGCCAAGGTGCTGACCAACACCGTGTCGGTTCCGGACTAGCGGTTACCGGAAAGCTGATGGAAGCTGTTTGGTCAGCAGTGGGGCCAGATGTGAGGAAGCACGGGAGACAGTGAGTTTCTTTCCCTCATTTCGGCATGGACAAGGGTGGTGCATCGGTCATTTTACCCTTCTCCTTGTTTCACAAGTCCAAGTCTCAACCTTGGAAGCCTTCATGGCGCTTCGGCCAGCGATCCCTCGTGCTGAGAATCGGCTAGGATGGGTAGACTTTGCACTGGTTACTGATTTGTCCATTGATCTGTACTTATCTTTCGTGGTATGATCTTGTATGTTTGGAGTCTGTCTGCCCACCCTGGTTCAGTCAGCGTCTGGCTGGACCTTGTTCCTGGAATCCGTGCCTGCTCCGAGCGACTGTGCGAGTCGAAACCCCAACCCGGAAATCTTAAGACCCCTCGAAACCCTAAGTCGCGAGGTGCTTTTCCTTTTCCTGTACTTCCGAAGCGGCGCTATTCGCAAGGCCGGGGGAGCGCCTTTGGGTAGCAAAGTGGGCGGTCCTGAGGCTTTTTTTGTTTTAATGAGGCTACCACAGTAGAAGCCTTGTGATGCATTTTTTGTTTTATCAGGGTCTTTAAAGGTCGTTATTGGGAGCTTTACGGGATTTCGGGCTTGAGGGGTTTGGGGTTCTCATGTGGGTGGTTGTCAAAATTATGGTCCCTTTTTGGGTCCCTATTATAGTACGGCACCTATTGTTTAGGGTGCCCAAAAAGGGCCCCTATCTTTGACAACTACCCATGTGTACTTGCAGGCTCAGGATGGGTCTGGCTCTTCGGGCCTCCAGGGAGGATGCCACGTGCATTTGCTTACCTTTGGTTAGTTAGTAGGGAATGGAGGAATGGGCTACAAGTATACCGACTATTACTACCATTCTTCCATTCCCTACTAACTGAAGGTAAGACTACCCCTATAGATCCCGTTATAAGGAACCCCTATAGATCCCTTTCAGGAGCCCTATAGATCCCTTTAAGGAACTATTACTACCGTTTAAGTTTGAGGGCATCGGCTTATCCCAGTCCAAACCTCTTTTTGCTATTTCGGGTGGTTGTCAAATTTGTGGCCCCTTTTTGGGTACCCTAGATATTAGGTGCCGTATTATAATAAGGACCCAAGAAGGGACCCTCATGTTGACAACCACCTAGTTATATAGGGCTTAGGCACAAGTGGCTTGCTTGCTTAGTGATTGCGGTCGAGTGCCGGATTCGCTCCAGGCCGGTCTTAAACAGAAAATAATTACAGGCCGCGCCCGAGGCCCGCAAGCTCCACCCGAAACTCCAAACCTGCAAGAAAAGCTCCAAACTCTGGGCCCGAAAGCCCCGAAGACGTACGTACACTTTGAACTCGAAACCTAAGCGCCCTCACCTCGACTCTACGCCGGAAGCCCCAAACCGCAAAATCCAAACCCTAGATCCTCAACTCTAATCTCATCTGAACTCTAAGTCGGGAGCCGGTTCGACCCAGGCCTCAAACCTTAAACCCTTAACCTTGCTATCCCAAAAAATGTTATTAAAGTTACTGGTCTCGAGTTTAGGGTTTATGGGTTCGGGTTGTGGGGTTAGGGTGGTGGGTTTGGGGTTTAGGGCGATGCAAGGATCTGGCTAGCCCCAAGCCCAGTGGCAAAAAAGGGCTGAGCTTGTGGGTTTAGGGTTGTGGGTTTGGAGTTTAGGGCTGGTTTAAAGGGTTGCGGGTTTAGTTTATTGTGGGTATAGTTTAGGGTTTCGTGTTGTGGGCTCACTGAACTTGGACCTGGAAGCCTTAAGCCCGGAAGCCCTAGCCGTGAAATGCCGCTAAAGCTCTAGCACAAGAACTCCAAACGCTGTAAATCCAAAGCCCCAAGTCCAGCACAGCGGTCTGACTAGGCCCCTAAAAGGCACCAAAAGCACTGTATATAACCTTGGTACCTTTTCCCTAAACCCTAAACCCTAAGCCCTATTGTAAGGCCTAAACCCTAAGCTCTAAGCCCTGGCAAGCCTGGGCAACCCCGAGTAGATGTGTCTCACTCAACAGACCTCGAGCCACATGCCTCGCCTGGATCTTCCGGGTGTGAGCGCCGAAATCCTAAGCCCTGAACCCTAAGCCCTAATTCTGCTCAGCTGACACAGGCTCTGAAAGAGGAGTCCAAAGCCCAGGCGGAGAGCGCCTCTCGGCAACGGGTTAGGGCTGTTGGGAGTTAGGATGTCAGAGCAGAGCAGCTGAAATCTATACGGAAGCCCCACTTCGTTGAGAACTTGGGATGGGGTAATGGGTGCAGGGTTTACTGCGGTTCAGAATTTCTGGCAGGGTTTCGAAATTTGAGTTTACGGTGCCCTAAGTCCTTGATCTCCAGTTATATTTCGACATATTCGCATGAACAAGGGTGCAGTCTGCTTATCAATATATGCACCGTCACGGTGAAATCGCGGTGTCGCTGTGGGAGTGCCAGGACCAATAGAGGGGCTTGTGATGAGTGTTGGAATCCACTTGTACCTCATCTACAAGCCCCAGGAGGACTTACACAAGTAGCTACCGCAATTATCGTTGAAGTTGATGTTGGGATTCAGTGTTCAGCGGCGCTGCGCCTGCGAGCGAGGTCAGCGAAGTCGAGCATGCGGCCGGGGCCTCGTAGCCGTGAAGCTTTTTCGAACTAAACTAGGCCTGATGCAAGGCACTACAGTGCTGCAGAAGAAGTGTGCTGTTAAGGCTTTGGCATATAAAGATTTTCAGGCTCTCCAGTTTCAATTTCGGCTGACCTGAGGCCTCAACCATGATTTTGAGATAGAGCGAAGATTGGAGACAGAATGAGAGTGAGAAAGCCACAGCGAGAGCGAGAGAGGGAGTGAATTTGTGCAACGTTCCGTTGCAGGATGTTCCCTACGTTCAATCCTGTACCGAAGATACCAGGTGATGAATTTCCGCCTCATCTCGGACTACAGCAAGCGGAGTGCCGTCGTGGAAGCGTTGCTAAGCTTATGCTGTTTCGATCGGTCTCGGGCACCCTTTGAAGCCCCGAGATTGCCATAGTATCCGTTCGGAGTGAAGAGTTGACGATTTGCCACGGGTGTTTTTTCGATGGGCACGGGGGCTGAAGGTTACAGGCCATATTATTGACCCCCTTCCCGATGCGACAGCAGTCCGGACGGTTTGGCGGTTCGATAAAGCGAAAATACGGGGTTCTAAAAAAGTGATACTAGTACTATAGATACCATAAGGGGTTCTTCGAGGGTTGCGTTGGAACTTCGGGCAGAGTTGGGTTCCCATTTCGGTCAGCATCCTTTATCCATTGCTTCTGCTGACTGTCATGACTTACGGTGCGCCTCCGAAAAGACATGTCGGTCTTTCCTGTGTCGGGGATGTCGGATCGAGGACCAGATTCACGAAAGTTCCTGAACCCGCTTGCTGAAGTCGGAGTGTAAGCGGCGTGTGCTCAAGGATGTTGTGGGTCGACTTGCGGGGATGTTGGGGGCGAGACAAAGCCGAACCCTGAACAAACACGCCCCTTCGATCCTGAATACTAAGTACATTAGGGGGGGGGTACATCTCGGATTTTGCTTTAAGGGCCAAATCCGACACGAGCCCATGCTGCTAAGCTCTGCATGAAACTAAAGCCCCAATCCCTAAACTCTACTCTCAAAGCCCCAGGCCTCTAGCTTCCAGTCCCAAAACAACCAAAGCCTGAACTCCGAATTCAAAGCCCTCGAGTCTATCCCTAAACCCTCATGCTACGGGGCTTCGTCCATCTGTCGTACCCCCTCTGCCGGTATATAACGGAAGTAACGGTGGCAGTGAGACCTCATGAAGCCGTGCCTGCGTTGAGTGAGTGTGCGAGTCGAAACCCTCAGCCCCCCAAAAGCTCTAAGCTTCCCAAAATGTGGGGCCAAGCCCCCACATTCCGGACCTTAATCAACAGACATCCTTCCAAATCGCAAAACAACAGCTACAGCTACATACCCCGCTCTAAAGAAGAGAAAAGCGAGAAGCCCAAAGCCCTCGCAGTCCAAGCCAGGTTCGAGTCGAACGTCGTGACCTTCCGTGGCGCGGCGAGGGCCGTAGGCCGATACAGAGATTGGGGCTTGGGGGCTTAGGTGGCTCAGGGCTTAGGGTTGAGAGGTTTTTAGGGGTTTAAAGCTGGGTTGAGAGGTTTAGGGCTTGGGGCGTTCAGGGCGCAGGGTTCAGGGTTCAGGGCCTACTGGGAGCTGACTCCAGGCGAAGTGCGAAGCCTGTTGCCACAGGGCCTAGGAGTGGACTCGCTGGCTGACACCAAGAGCCCAGCTGCAACAAGGGCCTAGGATGTGATTTGTACTGGCTTCAGGGTTTGAGGGGTTTTAGGGTTTAGTGGAGTTGCAGGTGTGCTGAGTCCAGCTCATTTTTGATTGTTTTTGTTGCTTAGCACCTGCACAGGCAGGTGCATTATGTTTTCCAGGAGGAAATAGAACCAACGCCGACATAACTATTAATTACTATCCAAGTACACTGGTATAGCACGACTCAGCTAGCTGGCCGTGCAAGCATGTGCACACAGAACAAACAAAGCGAAAGATGTATCGATCGATAGGTTTACAGTACACACATGCATTTGATAATGAAGGTGCCAACACTTTCTTACTGAAGGTTCTGATGTGGGTGCAAGGAGTAGCCTTTCTTCCTTTCCGGTGGCTCTGAGGTGTGTGTTGTGTTTCTGCTGTTGTGCCACGGCCGAGACTCTGGACAATGAGGGCTGCTGAAATTACTGCTGTGTCACAAAGCCAAGAACTCAAGAAGACAAGCTCCGGGTCCTGATGGTTTAGGGTGTGCGGTTTAGGGCAGTTTAGGGTTTAGGTCTCTCGGCCCTTCGGACTTAGCGGGTTGGCTAGTCACCCGGTCATCCTCTGGAAGCTTCTTCGGGTAAGTGTTGTATGCATCAGGCTCGAAGGATGGGGCTGGTTGGTAGGGTTGAGGGTGTAGGGTTCGAGTACTTCCTGCCCGTGGATTAAAAGCTTGTCTCACATCCAACCCCAACCCCTCAACACCCGAAAAGGAGACCTCATGAAGCCGTGCCTGCGTTGAGCGAGTGTGCGAGTCGAAACACCCGAAAAAGATCAAACAGCATCCGGCTCTCGTGTACTTGCAGGGCAGCTCTTATTCAACAACCAGTTCTTCTGCAAATGGTTGAGCCGCTTGCAGCGAGATTGTGATTGGGGACGGGGTTTGGGCTGTGACTGCATCCCTCGGGACCGCTTGTACAGCTTGGACTCGGGAAGGCTCTGCCTCAGGTGCTGCCCTTGCCGGCATACAATCTCAGTCCGTGCTCAGAAAAAGGGTGAGGTTAGGTTGCGGTGTTACAGTTTTCGGGCCTCAGCTGAAGAGCAGCGGAAGAGGCAGTGCTGGCAGTCATCAAGTCCGGTTTCAAAAAGGGTGAGGTTAGGGGCGGAATCCTTGCCTGCAAGCCTGCGGCAAAAAAGGGTGAGGTTAGGGTTCGGGGCATTCTTTGGGTCTCTGCAGCTGGCTGGGCAAAGCTCTTGAGTCGTTTTGTTGGATGGGTCCTAGATCCACAGCTCCGAATCCCGCTACCTTCGGACTCAAACCCTCCTCCCCGAACTAAATACTCTTAAATCCGCAGCCTGCACCCCATCCCTATCATGACCCCTGCTTTCGAAAAGGGTTGGCGTATGGCGTAAGGTTTCAGTCGCGAGAATCCGCAGCCGCGGAAAGCCGGAAGCTGGTGGAAAGGGAAGTTTCGGGGTGCGGAGTTCATTCGGGGTTGGGTCTGAGTTTGCTTTTAGCTTGATCTACGTATGCCCTAGCAACAGGTTCGAGGGAGGCATTCCGATCTGAGTTCGCCCTCTTTGAAACCCTGCGCATCAGGTCAGTTGCTGATCGTCTTCTGGTGGCTTTGCTGGTTTTGCGGGTTCCGAGTCAAAGCCTACACCGGCATGTCGCGGGGCATCCTTTTGTAGTTCTGGGCGCTAGAAATTTTGGAGTCATGGGCTGGCAGAGCTTTTTCGGCCATCCGACTCCAAGTTAACCAGGGTCTTGGGGCGTTTATGAGGAAATCGTACAAGACGTACGGGCTCGGGTGTGCGTGCAGTTGCGGCAGAGGCTTAGTCTGCAGGCTCTGTCGACCTGAATACCGTTGTCTCATGTAGTTTATTGCGGTGCACCGGTGGCGGCTGCAATACCTGCCAATTTTATTCCGGCAACTTCTCTCGGAGAGTGTGCACTGATAGGCTGCAGCAGTTCTTCCGCCAAGAATGAACAGCAACCCAAACCGTGCTTACACCCTAACTCTACAGCACAAAAGCAGACGTCTTCACATCCTAGCCACTAGACCACATGAAACTCCAAACACTGGCGTTTGAAATTTTTTGGGACGCCTTCCTCGGTCACCTCAAATGTGCTCAACCGCTAAAATCAGACCTCGAAGCATATGCCTCGCCTAGTCCGTCCGAGTTTGAGTGCCGAAACCGCTACAAAAAGTCTAGCCCAGCTGCAGGATTGGCTTCGGTGGTATGCACGTGATCTCCGGGGAGCTCTCTCTGGGTTTGTTCTTGTCTCCTGGTAAACCACAATTTAGGTGTTTTTGGGGTTGAGGGTTTAGGGTTCAGGGATTTAGTGTGTTCGGGTTGTTGAGGTTATGGGGATGGGTTTCTTTTGCTGCGTTGGGGCAAAAGGCTTTGGGGGCATGCGGGCCGGGCGGGTGCTGGTTCTCTAGTCTCGAAGAGACAGCAGCAGACTCGGTGACGAGGTGCGACATCCAAATCTTTCAGACCATGGAGGAAATCACAGAGCAAGTCTACACCATGATCGTCAAGCTGGAGTCTCCTGGCTGGGAAGAACAGAACAGCAAAGCCAGGGCGAAGCAACCTCCACCACACCCCGCACGTATGTGTTCAACTGTACAGCGAAAGCCTCCAACCTAGACCTGCTCTGCCTTTGAGTGAGTAGTGAGATGCAGCCTTTATCCTTTGCTGATGTGCGCGCCACTGTCGTTTCCATTGCGAGGGATGAAACTGAACTGCACTAACAGAAGAAGGCTGTGGTAGCTGAGAGTGCCACAAAGTGCATTCAAATTATCCGACGACTCAAGAGACCTGCCGTGCTTGCATCGGCTTGCGACGAGGGGGCCCAAAACACCTCAAAACTTCGGCCGGTTTCACCAAAGCCTGAATCCAATTGGGCCCTAACCCCGCTAGCCCACTGAACCCTAAACGCGGGGACTGCTTCAAGGACGATCGAGCCGGCGCTGATGAGGGTCGTGGCCACTTTGCTCAAGAATATACTTCTTCGGATTTGCTGTTCATATTATGCTGAACTACATAAACTGAGCCTGAACAAAAATGCCGAAACCCCGAAAGCTAAAGCCCCAAGCTCCTAAAGCCCCAAAGCCACCAAAGCCCGTCACAAATCCCCACGGCCCTCAACCCCTAAACAAAGCCCCAAAAAAGCCCCAAAGCCCTAGCCTCGACTGGGGGAAGGTGTTGCTGAATCTGCCCACGGACTTGCACCATCGGAAGAACCTGCAGAGCCTCGGATCCAGTCTTTAACCCCAGGATAGAAGATATAGGGTTCAGGTTTAGGGCTTCATGGAGTTTAGGGTTTGGGGTTTGGGGGGTTCTATTCATGGGATCCATGCCGTCATGTGCATTACTCAGCTGGGATTGCGAGCTGAGAAACCCTCCCAAAACTCCGCCACTAAGTCCCAAGCCCGAACTCAGGCAAGATGTTGCGATAAATCAGATGTGCTTGCAATCTTGCTGGCTCTAAGCTCTGTAATCGGGGTTTAGGGTTTAGGGATTGTTTGACCCCTGATCGTCGAAGGGATCGGCTGCGGGAGACCACTGCCTACATGCGGGAGCGCGTGGAGAAGAAGCGGGCGGATGATGTCGCCTCGCCTGCAGTTGAGGTTGATCGGACTGGTGCAGGGTGCACTTCGAACCCGAGACCTCGTCTGGCTTGTCCGAGTTGCGAGAGCGTAAACCCTTACTGGCAAGCACATATGAGACCAGAGAGGCGTTACCCAAACAGATCCCTGCGTCTGAACAATCGAAATGTCTATGGTAGGCTTTAAGTTAGCTCGCCTTTGAAGGGGCTCCACTTCTTCTGTGATTAAGCAGCTACACGCTATCCCACGCCGAAGCGAGAAACCCTAAACTCAGTTAAGCTTTAGGAAGGAAGGTGCGGTTGCCGGAGCCCCGATATGGTATACGAGACCAGCACGCCGAGCCCGAGTTGTTCCGGATATCACAGATGTTCAGCCCTACAGTCTCAATCGATGTGGCAGACCTGACATTCCTAGCAGTCCAGCTCGATCTGTAGTGTTGCATTTAGGTTCGAATGGACCTCCTGCCCATTACGATGCGTGGCTGCAAATGTGGGAGGCCTCGAGTTTGGGGCTTGAGGTGCTTGAGGCCGTTGGGTTGCGTTTGGCTGTGTACTTAGGGTTCGGTGCTAACCTCGCCCGCAACCTGGCCTTAGCGTTTGGCTTGATCTTAAAATATGGCCCCATGTCAGTTCTTCAATCTATATCCTAAACAAGTTGGATCATCGAGGTTGCAGAGCCTCAGCCTCACGTACGTCGCACAGTCCCTCAGAGACGGACTGCAACGGCTCTGTGTCGTGAAGCGAGTTACCCACTGTCCTTCAAACCGTTTAGAAGCCCCAGACTTGGAAGCCTCCAAAGCCAGACAAGAGGACAAAGCAAATGACAGTCGTAGCATGGTGTGTGTGTGTGTGTGTGTGTGTGAATGCATCTTCGTCGTCGAAGCGTGAGAGGTAGTGATGCTGAGCCTTTGTGAAAGCTATATATAGTGACTGCAAGCAAGCACGGCTTCTCGGTTTAGTTTCATCTGCGTCAGAAGCAAGCACGGACGACGAGAGTTAAAGTGGCCACGATGATGCAGCGATGAAATCAGAAGCAAGATCAGCATGGTGATCACGACCGGCATGCTCCTGATTGTAGTGGCCCCGATCCCACTGGAGTAGCTCGATGTGATGGCACACCCTAAGCCCTGAACAGGAGTCGCTCGATGTGATAGCACGACGCACCTCTTCAAGGGCTTGCTGAGCATCGAGCAGGGCACGTGTCTCGGCTCTGCTCTTCAGTCCTTGTTTACGGTTTAGGATTTAGGGCTTCAGGTTTGGTTTGGGTTCCAGAGTTTAGGATTTAGGGCTTCAGGTCTGGGTGAGGAGATTCGGGGCTCAAACCCCCTCGATCTCTAGGAAAATGGTTCGTATTCGACGCTAACTAAAGTTGCCTGCGTGCTTGCTGGTGCTGCGAAGAACAGGCGCAGTATTCAGGACGCAGGTTCTCATGGCAGAACGATGCCTTCCCATTTCGTCGCGTGTGAATTCGCTGCGGTTGCAAGATGGTAGATAGACCGGAAGCACAATCTATTGCGAAGGGGGTTTGGCTGGTAGTATGTGTTGCCACATTGGCGACACTTGCAATCGAAGCGCTGATTACAAGCGTCATAGCTGTCCTAAGCCTCGAACCTGAAAAACCAAATTTCAAATGCCTCGTTTGAACCCCACGCTGCCAAATCCGGAACTAGCCCCTTCATCCTCCTACTCCTGAGACCACAACCTCCAAGGATGGTCGTCCTCATCGGTCAGACGAATGGAGGTAAAGCTTCGAGGTACCAGTGCACAGGGCACCGATGGATCGATTTTACTTTGTAGGGCTTGGGGTTTAGGAGGGTAACACACGGCGTCGTGAGCGTGAGTCGGCGAATATTGAGATACCCAAAGCCCAGACCCAAAAACTTCAAATCAAAAAAACATGTTGTCCTCGTATGATCCAGACAAGCCAGCCGCGACGCCGACGCACACTGCATCATGATTGTTCTTATGCTTTGCATTGGTTTTTAGTTGTTAGTATTGTACGACTTCACGTGCTTTCCTTGCAATACGTATTCGTGTTCGGGGTTCCTGTTTCTTTCATGTTATGGTTGAAACTTGGAAATACCCCATGTTCCATGCTCAGAACCACTGCGCAGGCTCAGAGCCTTAGGCGGCGCGATCCTGCCGGACAACTTGGATTCTTGGCATCAGGGTCCCTGCAATTCGTGCTAAGATGTTGAGGGTTTGGAGCTTTCTCTTGGGGGCTCAAGGTTTTTTACAAATTATATAGGGTGTCGAGGTGTGGCCATTGGTGCAGGAGGTTCTAGAGTCAGAGCCTTTTCAGCAGAGAGCAACGGACTAAGACTAAGAGCCACTCAGTCGCAGCAACATGCTTGGCGGTCTCGTGCAACAGAGATGGTGCGGTTGCAGGTCTGATATCATAGATTGCAATACGACGGAAGCTTGTATCTAGAATTTCGAGCCATGTTTGAGGCAGTGGGATGAGGATGCTTGGGCCATGTCAAGGCTTTTCCGCTCAGGAGAGCATCTTCATCCCGTCCCACCTCAGGGTGCTGCACATTGACTCGGAGCCGATGTTCTCTCGAGGGTCGTCACTTGCTGGGAGAATTGTGTGGATGATTTCGTGTGCTTGAAAGCAGCTCTTAGACGAAGTCCAGCCAAGACAACCCTAGTTCAGTTCAAGGGGTGCTTGGCTCGGCAAGGGCGCCGGGTTTGGATGTCTGAGTTGCAGTCGCGCCTGCAGGTCATTACAACCCGTCAGGGGCGAATAGTCGGCAAGAAAAGCTGGAAGCCACAGTCGAGGCGAGGATCATGCTATTTTCTGGTCTGGACGCTGTCTGAGGAGATGTTGATGATCTTGGTCGTCGCCGTCATGGTCATCGTCGTCATTCTCACAGTGTCAGTAGCAGACGCATAAGCAGCAGTCGCGGTGGCGAAGGCGGTGGCAGTGGCAGTGCAGCAGCAGCAGCGGCGGCAGCAGCGGCGGCAGCAGCAGCGTCAGCGGCAGTAGCAGTTAGCAGCGGCAGCTGCAGTGCCGTCAGCGGCAACAGCAGTACGAGCAGCAGCAGGAGTAGCAGTCGTCGTCGAAGTAGTAGGAGGGGCATCAGCACAACGAATAGATAGGAATAGTGATGGTGGATAGCAGCACGGGTTTTTCAATGAAGAACAGAGCGCAGTGCGCATGGGGTACCGTACCGTTCGACTTTTTCGGCCACTTGGAAATACCAGCTTGTCATGTCAGGGCTCTTTACATGCGCTGAGGCCTTCCTTACATGCTGCGTCTTTCGAGCCGAGGCTTTTCGACAACTTGACTTTTGGAGTCAAGGCAAACGACCCAGACGCGCCGCTTGTCTGTGGAATTTCGTCGGATGTGCTAGGCAGATAGAGTACCTGCCGGAAGTCCTGGAATCTCGAGTGCCGAACCCTTCAAGCCTTCGCAATTGCATTTTATTCAGTTTTCGTGGCTTAGCCGGAGCCTTCAGTAATCCGGCGGTTCAAGGAGCTCAGAAGATGTGAGAGTTGTCCTTGGGCGTCTGAACATCAAACCTCGAAGCCCCATAATTTTGGGGGCCTGAATCATCAATGCGACTGCGATTCCTTAAGCGTGACAATTCGAAGCAAATTTTGGTGTATATCCTCTCATAGTGATCGTCAGCAACCCTCAGGAGTGACTCCTTATAGAAACCCTTATAGAACCCTTATAGGAACCCTGTTTGGGTACACGGACCCTTATAGGGAAAAGAACCATTTTTGGCTCTACAAAAAACGCCAGAACAGGTCTCCACCAGAGGCGCCTGAAGCCACGAACTGAGGTCCGAAGACCGCATCTTCCAAATCTGCTCCATGCTGGAGATCCCAGAGGTAGGTATTCGTTTCTCTTTGGGGGTGGGCTGGGGTGGGGCGGGGTGGGGTAAGAGGGTTTATAGCGTATAACCATAGTTTGCTTTTTGGGTTCCTTGTCTGGGAGTTTCTCTTTTCAAGGCAGAAGGTTTGTGTTGAGAGCTGTTGGACACGTTTTCCCTTCAAGCATGTTGAAGGATCTGGGTTGTTTCCTTCAAGT